GTGGCCAAGCTCTGGCAGATGTGGAGCCGTTTCAAAGCCACGGTTTAACCCCTGGGGTCGGGTGTTTTCCCCCGTGTGAGCCTGGTCCCAGGGTCTCCCCAAGGCAGGCTGGCGGGACCTCCATGAACAGCCCCCGCCCTCTCTCCCCTCCCTCTCCCCAGCTCTTTTCCCCTGCTGGAGGCTTCCCAAACACTCACGGGCATCCCCAAAAGCCTCGCGGCGCTGGGCGCGCCTGGCTGCCTCCCGCTCGCTGAGCGAACGCAGCTTTTGGGGCAGCAGGAGGAGGGCTTGGTCTGCACCCCGAGATCCTGCCCCTGCACCGGGGGGGGCTCTCCCCACGGATCGCTTCAGGCTTTGTAGTGACCCTGTGCCAACCCTGGACGTTCTCTCCCCTCTCCTAATCTCATAACCTCCGACTCTGCTACTGCTGCTTTCAAGCCCATCTCATCCTGTTTTGTCCTCACTGATCTAGATCTAGTTTAATAATTCTACTTATTAATGGAATTTATTCCATTAATAATTTTTCCCCCTCTCAGAGACCTTCACTGTGTGTAGGATTGTCTCGTGTCTTCCCCTGGTTTCCTCCTCTTAAACTTTCCTGTCCAGTCCTGAAATTTGTCATTTTGGTCGCTAAGTTGTTCTTTTCCAAAGGGCACTGTCCTTCAGGCCCCACGGTTCCCAGTAAGGGTAGGAAACCTGCTCGGTGCTGCCAGAGCCCCAGTCAGCACCAGGATCCTCTGTAATTTCGGAGATCTCGGTGGCAAAGCGGCTCAGCTGTCCAAGTAAACCCTTCCTGTGCCCATTTCTTCTTTATGTCCTTCATTACATGTTCTGTCCATCAGTATTTCCGAGTCGCATCCGGTTTCAGCCCATGTCTTTGTGCCGGAGGCAGAGGCGGGCAGGAAAGGTGCTGCCCCGGCGGGAGCTGATGGTGTGGGGCTTTCTCCCCACGGCTCAGCTCCCTCTGCCCATCCTCTGCTGCTTCTTTACCTCCTTGCCCCCCAATCCTCCTCTCTCTACCCTTTTTTTTTTTTTTTTTTACTTTAAAAATTACCTTGAGCCCTTCTCTACTTTCCAGGTACACTTGTGGGTGAGTTCAGTATCCCAGGCTTGCGTGGGACCCTGACCGCACCCCCCCGACAGCACCGTGTATTTCGGGCCCTGTATGCGCCCGTGCGGCGACCGAGAGTTTAAAAGCACCGTTTTGTTTGTTTGTTTGTTTTCTCTCCTGCTGATTTCAGCCCGGGGGATTACGGAAACAACTCCCAGCTTCATGTATCCCTACGGGACCTCCAGCAGTCAGATGGTGCTCAGAGGGGTGGACCTCCTGCTGGAGTGCATTGCTTCAGGAGTGTACGTACCGCTTCCCGGCGGCTGGCGGAGATGGGGAGAGCTGGGACGGCCGGGGACTGAGCTGCTCGATCACCAGTGGAAATACCTCTGGCTGGGAAAAGGGATCGCTCCCTTCCTTTATAACGGCTATTAACAATACTCTCAAAGCTACGCGAAGCGCGAGAGCATGGAGCGAACGGCAGAGCCGAGTTTTGCAGCGCTCTTCGGAGGCGCGGGTGCCTTTGGATACTCGCTGCCCAAGGGTAGCTCCCCGCTGGCTTGTCCTCGTAGCCGCTGCAGATCTCCTGGGTGCCCCTCGCCACGCCGTACGAACCGCGGGGGAGGACGCTTGTGGTCCGTGGGTCTGCGGAAGCGTCCTGGGCCGCGGGGTCAGACTTCGGCAGCACTCCCGGGGCACGCTGCCCGCACACGCTGCCAGACCAGCGCTCTGCGTCCCCAAAGGGTAGCTCCCCGCTGGCTTGTCCTCGTAGCCGCTGCAGATCTCCTGGGTGCCCCTCGCCACGCCGTACGAACCGCGGGGGAGGACGCTTGTGGTCCGTGGGTCTGCGGAAGCGTCCTGGGCCGCGGGGTCAGACTTCGGCAGCACTCCCGGGGCACGCTGCCCGCACACGCTGCCAGACCAGCGCTCTGCGTCCCCACGCCCGAGGTTCCGAGTGCAGGATTATCGACTGCTTGCTTAGGAGTAATTTTCTTGTCTTGCAAAAGCATTTATCTCCTCCCCTCTCCTTAGACCAGCACCAGACATCATGTGGTACAAGAAAGGAGGAGAGCTCCCAGCAGGCAAAACCAAGCTGGAAAACTTCAACAAGGCCCTTCGTATCTCCAACGTCTCCGAGGAAGACTCCGGGGAGTATTTCTGCTTGGCATCGAACAAGATGGGCAGCATCCGCCACACGATCTCGGTGAGAGTGAAGGGTACGTCACCTTTACCTCGCCATCTTCTCCACCTTCGCAACCAGGAGCCGAGGGGCCGTGCTCGGGAGGGGACGCTCCGAGTTGCTGAAAGGGGGAGCGGGGGCTTTCTGCGGGGGCTGTCCCTGTGCTGTATCCAGCCATCCTTGCTTCTGGTCCCAACTGACCTAAAAGCAGTGTGAGATGGGATCTCGGCTGGTGTAACTCAGCAGAGCTTCATCGATATAAATGGTTGCGTGCTTGTGCACAACGGGAGGAGGATCTTGGCCAAAGGGGGGTGAAGAGGGGTCTCCACGCTCACTGCCCCCAGGAAAGCCCACTTGAGCGGGTGCTGTTTTCACGCCTGAGTTCAGCGGCGTGCAGCAGGGAGGGGATTTTGGATGAGGTAGTACTGCTGCCTTTATAATTGGTGCATCGGTGTATTTTAAAGCTGCTCCATACTGGTTAGACGAACCCCAAAACCTCATTCTGGCCCCTGGCGAGGATGGCAGACTGGTGTGCCGAGCCAATGGGAACCCCAAGCCTGCGATACAGTGGCTGGGGGACGGGGGGGCCCTAGAAGGGGGGGGGGAGCCTATAGAAGGTGAGCAAGGAAGAGCCTGCACCTCCTTTACAAAAACCTAGCCAAGGATCTCGTGGCTGGCCGTGAGAGCCAGGGCTGCTGTCGGGGTGCCAGGCACCCCACTGAGCAGCGTGCGTGGGCTCCAGCGTCGCAGCACGTGAACCACCTGCTTGTCAGAGACAAGGCCAGCTGAACTGTGTCTTTGTAGGCTGGGGAGGTCACGTACCGTCGTCTGGTTTTACCTGGGCTGAGACGGAAAGATGAGTAATGATACTGAGAGTCTTGTGAATTTTAATTTAAAATTTAATTTAAAGAATGCTCTCTGTTTTGAAGCTTCTCCCCTGAACCCGAGCAGAGAGGTGGCTGGCGATACCATTGTATTTCGAGATACCCAGATCGGCAGCAGTGCCGTGTACCAATGCAACGCGTCCAACGAGCACGGCTACCTTCTGGCCAACGCCTTCGTCAGCGTCCTGGGTAAGTACTTATGGAAGACGAACACCCTGTAGTCAAGTTTTCCCTGCGAGAGCTCTCTATTTGCTTTCCTCTTTGTTGTTAGCTACTCTGGGGCTAATGCACAAAGGTACGTGACCTCTGCCACCGGGCTTTAGCGCAGAAGTCCACTGCCATGGACCTGCAAAGCCAGGCAAGGTTGAGCAAGTCCTGTTGGCATGAAGATGTAAACTGATTCGTGCAGCGAGGTTAGAAAGGGCAGGAGAGGTGAGAGGGAATGGAGAAGCTCTACTGAGCCTTGAAACAAGGAGGAGTGAACAAAAGGGAAGGGAGGGTGGATGAAAAGACTGGAAAGGGAGCAGTGGTCTGGAAACTGGTTTCTTTTTGTAATGGCTGCGATTTTTGCTGTTTGCAGACGTGCCTCCACGGATACTGGCCCCCCGCAATCAGCTCATCAAGGTGATTCAAAACAACAGGACCCGACTCGACTGCCCCTTCTTTGGCTCGCCGATCCCCACCCTGAGATGGTAAGAGCTGCAGCACATCCCCTGCCAGTCCAGAGGGGTGGGAAGGGGAGGTTTCCTGCTCTGTCTTCCCTTACGATAGCACTTTGTGGTGTTGTGAGGTTTAAGAACGGCCAGGGGAACACACTGGATGGAGGAAACTACAAGGCACATGAGAACGGGAGCTTGGAGATGAACATGGCTCGGAAGGAGGACCAGGGCATCTACACTTGTGTGGCTACCAACATCCTGGGCAAAGCAGAGGCCCAGGTTCGCCTGGAGGTCAAAGGTAGGGGCACGACAGGCTCTGGGTCAAAACTGTACCTTGGATCTTTTGAAACTTGAAGCAGAAATAATAATTTGTGTTAGGGGAGGGTTGGCTGCGCGCTCCAGCGGTCTGTCAGCAGGACAGGCGCTATGTACTTTGGAGCCGAAATCCAGAAACGGGCAGACATTCCCTTTTAATGTTGAAAAAAGCCAAGTCTCTGGATATACTCAAGCTGTAGAAGGGCTTGGTGTGGATATTGAGCTGTGAGATGTCATAAGCATTGCAGAAAGAAATACAAAGTGTGTATCAGGGTTAACTGATGGCAGTAAACCATTTTCTGAATCAAGTTTCCACCGGGGCTTTCACTGTTCAGCAAAACTGCTTGCTGACTCAGAAAGCTGGGCATTTTTTAAAGGGTCAGCATGAGTTAATGGATGGTTAAATTAATTTATTTGCAAACATTTGTATCGGAGACAGTTCACTATAGCAAGCTCAACAAACACTTGACGTGCATGCTCGTCTCTTCCAAGTAACACCACTCTTCATTGAGTTCCTGAGTTAAGACCCAGCAGTTGGGTGCCTAATGCTTTCCTTCTGACTTTGTGCAGACCCAACCAGGATTGTGAGGGGACCAGAAGATCAGGTGGTGAAGAGGGGCTCCATGCCTCGCCTCCACTGCCGCATAAAGCACGACCCTACGCTGAAACTCACAGTCACCTGGCTGAAAGATGATGCACCCCTGTACATTGGAAACAGGTCTGTCTTTAACAGTTTCATGGGTTTCCATTCCCAGGATTGTTGGACTTTCTACAGAACATCTCAGGAGTCACCAGGGACAATATGGGCAAACATCCAGTTCCCTCTAGGCAACGTTTGCTGTTCTTGATACTTTTAATGTTACTAGCTCCTTCCAACAGACGCTGCCTCGCGATTAAAACTGACTTATCAGTAAATCAAGACTTTGACTGTATGTTTTATTTACAGATATTTTAGGACATCTTGATAAAATGGGTGGGTTAATAACAGGCTACTTCAAATTAATGTTAATCTGCTGTGAGTGGTACAGCTGTAATTTCCTTTCCATAGCCCAACTCCCTTCTCATGCAGTGAGATCTGATCACAGGACACAAGCCAGTCAGAGGTCAGATTGTTTTCCTGAAAGTGTGATTATTCTGGATATATACCAGAGCACATCTGCTGATTCTTTAGGAAGTGAGGTTTCCAAGAAGAACTAATGCATCCTTAGCTCATAAAATCTTCAGAACAGAGAAGTATTCCTGTTTTGTTTGGCTTTTTTATTTATCAGAGAACAGTTAGACTTCAGTTCTGCTGCCTAATGTGCTTAGGCACAGTTGTGTGATTATCGTTCTAACCCCTTGAAGGATGAAGAAAGAAGATGATGGTCTGACAATATATGGCGTGGCTGAGAAGGACCAAGGGGATTACACCTGCGTAGCTAGCACGGAGCTGGACAAGGACTCGGCTAAAGCGTACCTCACCGTACTAGGTAAAGCTGTCCTCCCAACGTACTGACACACAGCTAAGCAAGTGCTTTATTTTTAATATAACAGACTGACTTCAAAGTCAGACTGAAAGGGTGAGCTGTGATCACAGAATCGTCCTCTGAAGCAGAGATGCTCAGGGAGATGCTGGCAGAGCAACTGTTCCGTTGCTGCAGGACTCGGCAAGGACGTGCTGCCTAATCTCAGACTCGGACAACGGCATTGAATTTGAGTCGAAGCAAACTTGCATTTGAGACCAAAAAAAAAAAAGTAGTTATTACATACAGCTAAAAATATCCAAACGTGGATGCTGAAGCTCTGTAAGAACAGTCCTAAATTTGCAAGTGAATTTGACTGAATGCCAGGCTGCTGAGCGACATTGGAAACCGGGGGCGAGGGAGCCACTCCTAGCCTTGCAGGTCCCCCCTTCAATACGGGGAGCGACAAACCTAAACCCATTCCCCGTACCCCTTTAGGTACGCTGCGAGATCTATTTGCAAAACACAGATTTATCAATCCCTGCTCTTGGCCGCCGCAGATCTTGCTGACGTGCTGCATTCACAGGAGTGCCCTAAACTGCCGGCGCCGCTGGCACAGAGCCGCGGTGCCCTTACAGAAGCCAGAGTGCAATATGAATCTTGTATCCCTAACAATTTGAGTGGGCTTCATTTATTTTCCTTCCTTTTCCCCCGTAGCTAATTAACTCTACAGCAGGCTGATGTTTCCCCTTTGCTGTGTGCTAGAAGTATGAATAAGGGTGTGCAGAGCGTGCCTGGAGGTCTCTGGGGGAAGGACGTACCTACTCTGGTGCCCAGGCAGGATCGGATCCTTCTGAAATCTGTAACTCTGCGTGTAACTTTATATTTGCCAGGTGCTCCTTTCGCCACCCAAGCTTAATGTCTAGACTAACACCGTTAACAACCAATGTCTTACCTTGCAGCTGTCCCTGCTAACCGTTTGAGAGACTTACCTAAAGGTAATCATCACTAATTCATTGGGTTTATTTTATTTTGTAAATGGATTTTGTTTTGCCTTGCCAATAACGCCAACAGAGGATCTAGGTGTAGCAGCTGAAAAAGCTGGGAGCTGATGCTTCCCAGTCCTGCCCATGCTGTCCTTGAAAACCCGTCCAGATGGCCGTGGGTAGAAAGGCCCCGTGTCGCATCATTTCGTGTCCCACAGTGCCAGTTCTTGAGTGCAAGAATCACCTTAGCCATACCTGGAAATGGTGAGCCCTGATGGGAGAAAAAAAATCACATTGAATCCCTTGATCTCTACCTGGAAAGAAGTTATTACTGTTGCTGTTATTGCATGAGCTCGTTCTGTGTGACCATGTGGACTGTGGCAAGATAAAGAAACCAGAATTGGGCCCAGAGCATTTCTAAGAAGTATGTATTTTCACTGAGCCTTTCTGTCCTTTCTGTTCTATTTGTTTGCATTTATTCTTTGGACAGCTGTGTGTAGTTTGTTGTAAGACCATATATCCCCCTGCTGAGCCACTATCTTGTGCTTCCACCGCCAGATGACCTCAGCTGTACGGGGAGAAGGTAGGGTTTCGAGGCAGGGCACAACTAGTATGTGAGCACGTTGCTATTTAAAAAATTGCACCAGCCTACCGAGAGCTGCAGGTCGTGAATCGTGGCAGAGCGTGTGCCCTCCCGTGGGTCTGCACCGAGACAGCCAGGGCTTCCCTTCTGGGAGCAGCGATGGGAACTGGGACTCCCGGCTCCTGGGACAATCCCAGCCTGATTTGTCTCGTTACTTGGCCACCAGAGCGACCCGACCGGCCCCGTGACTTGGAGCTGACGGACCTGGCTGAGAGGAGCGTGCGGCTGACGTGGATTCCTGGGGACGACAATAACAGCCCCATCACAGGTCAGCTGCCGGACCCTCTGCCCTGATTCCCTCCCGCTTTCTTCTGCACGGTGGAGGGAAAACTTTCCTTGTGAGCTGAGCCCTTAACGCCACCTCTCCATCCTCTTCCTCCAGACTACATTGTCCAGTTTGAGGAGGACCGGTTCCAACCTGGCATGTGGCATAACCACTCCAGGTACCCTGGGAGCGTCAACTCAGCCGTCCTGAGCCTCTCTCCTTACGTCAACTACCAGTTTCGGGTGATTGCGGTGAACGATGTAGGCAGCAGCCTGCCCAGTGTCCCCTCCGAACGATACCAGACCAACGGGGCACGTGAGTACCTTCCACCCCATCCCTCTTGCCGCGGTGACTTGACGTTGTTCTTAGCATCTGGCCACCACTCTCCGTGTAGACTCTTCCCTCATGGTGTGTGATCACAGCTCCTGTAACAGAAACAGATTTACCCAGATGAGGGAACGAGCTAGGCCATGCATGTGCTGGGCCGCAATTTTGTGTATCACAACCTCAAGCCTATGACTGATACTCTGCAGAGCAGCAAAATTCGAACGGAAAGATTTATGCAAAAGTCACTCCAGCAGAATCTGTTGAAGGAAAGCCCAGTTTCACCTTACAGAGATGCCTTCTAAAGAAAGTCTTTCATCCTTTCTGGCCACAGGAAGCTCAGAAGTCTCTTGGAAAATTAGGCTCAAGTGTAAACTGGCCACACGTGAAAGGCATTTTGTTCCAAAATTGCTAATTCATTGTCCACTGCTAGAGCTGGCCAGGAGCGCACAGCAATGCAGGAGTAAAGTGGTGCTCCAGTCCACGACCAAGACTTGGGTCTTCAGTTTGTATGCCCAGTGCTTTGTACATTGCAGACTACTTGGGAAAATTAATATAAGGAATTCACAAGAAGCTTAGCAGTTTCTCTGCATTTCTTCATTTAACCATTGCAGATACTTTCGCAGTATCTACCGGCATCTAGTGTTGGCTTTCGACATTACTCTTCTTGTTTCAGATTTCAAAAGTGTCAGACTTGGCTCCTGGGGTTGCTTCACAATGGCTGTCTTTCAAAGATTGAGGACATTTCGGAACAAAAAAAAGAGGCTCCTAAATAAATGGCCTGGTTTTCAAGTGTGCTGAGAGTCCCATGTTCCATTAACCTGAATGGGAACTTCTGGAAAAATCAGGCCATTAACTTCTGTCTTGGAAGTACTTTTGGCTTGCACAGTAAAGGGTTTTTAACCACTCAAATGGTCATTTTTCAAGATTATAAACTGCTTTTTTTTTTCCCCAATGTGCATTTCAGGTCCTGAAATTAACCCAACAGGAGTTCAAGGTGCAGGGACACAAAAAAACAACATGGAGATAACTTGGACGGTGAGTTCTTTGATGCTTGACAGCCACCCAGCACCTTACCATTACAGCCACAGGTGCTAAGATACAGAGAACTCAGCATCTCTAGCATGTGTGATGTACCACACAGAATACCATAACCTTAACGATCATAAAGCAAATAAAAACAGAAGATGCAAGAGAGGCCATTGTTAGCGCCTAGAAGAAGGTCTGTGATTAAAAACAATAATTTGCAACTATGTAAGCCAAAGAAAAGATGCTGGATCACGGATACAGGTCAGGGATGCTCAGAGAGTCTGATTCCTTACGCAGTATATAGGGCTTGCAGACCAGCTCTTGCTTTTCTTCACAGACCAGCAGGTGTCATCCACAAATAAGCCAGCATCTGTAAGGAGGACAGACATTGCAGTGGGAGTAGGACTGGAACTAAGGATATGGTTCTTGGTCCTACCTTGGGTCTAGAGGGCAAGGACTAGCTTTGTCTCTGCCTGGGAACAAAAGTATTGAACTCCTTTGAGATTCACTGATGGAGCATGAAATAAGAACCAGCTGCTGAACAGAACTTTTTGGAGCTCTACGGCAGAGAAAGACAGTTGGTCTTTTTCCTTCTCACTTTCTTTTTCTGTTTTGGTCCATTAAGCCTCTGAATGCAACTCAAGCTTATGGGCCCAACCTCAGGTACATCGTAAGATGGAGGCGAAGGGACCCCCGAGGGAGCTGGTACAATGAGACAGTGAAGACACCAAGGCATGTCGTCTGGAACACACCCATCTACGTACCCTACGAGATCAAAGTGCAGGCAGAGAATGACTTTGGTAGAGCACCGGAGCCTGACACTGTCATCGGCTATTCAGGGGAAGATTGTGAGTATTTTCTCAGCCAGAGATCGTAAGTGTTTCAGAAGGGCAGGTTTCCACCCAAGGTCAGTGGGTTGGCACCTGCGCCTGGGACGTGTTCATAGTACTGCTTGATTTGGCACAAAAATCCAGTTCCAGGCATTGGAAGAAAGAGGCTTAGCTATCAGATTCTGCTCTGGGCTCTTCCTGCAACTGCCTACATGACCCAAGTCACTTAGCCTCTCCCTTGCTCTCTGTAAGACCCAGATAACACCTTGGAAGACAGTAAGATTTCATTTGAGCTGAGCAGCTCTGGCTGTATTCCAATAAACCGCATTAAAGTTTTTGCCCCTGATGCCTGTAAAGCACCAAGTTCGTCTCGGATGAGGGGTGCTATGAATGGCCAAAAGGGTCTTCGTTCATCCTGGACTGGATTCTTGTGCTTCTCTGGTAAGGTCCCAGCTAAGCCCCAGCTTGCTTGGGCTCCTGTTTGCAACACACCATTGGCTCAGCTTGTCTTTCTTTAGAACTCTCCACCTAGCCACGCAGAAGAGCAGCCAGCTTGCTTAAGTCTCTTTTCACCTTCTTTTTGGGCTTCTGTGCCTGTAGCATCCAAGACTCTGACCTACGATTATCCTTATCCTGTCAGGATAATGTGGTTTGCTGCTAACAGCTTTATTCTTAAAGAAATATATATTTGTTCCTTGCATTGCAGCATCAGTGGAGGTCCCTGGCTGTGTGACGTTAGGGTTACCAAGAAGGTAGCTAAGCCAGCTAACCAGCCACGGCTCTAGGCTTCAACTCGGGGGGCACAAAGAGGGTACAGCAATTTCAAGAATATCTGCAATCCTGGTGCTGAGGTAGCACGCAGGACACACGCTCCGACTGGGCGTCTTCTCCCAGAGGAAACAGGGAGGAAAATGGGCAGAAATGGTGGAAGTCAGGGTAAGAGCTGAGCACTGGAAGCAAAGCTGGACCTAGCTGTGAGGCTGTTACTGGAAAAGCTCCAGAAGCACCTGACTGCACCGTTGTTTCTGCATTACTTGTCTGTGCGCTACCAGGGTGGGGTTTTTTTCCAGTTTCAGTTGAAAACTTGTGCAATGATGTAGAGTTTTGGGGTGATCTGAATAAGCCTGCACATGTGTGCTTTATAGGCAGGTAAACCAGGGAGACCAAAGCCCCCATATCACACTCCAGACACAAATATGTTCCTGCCTGGATCCTGAGGGGTGGAACAAGCTAGAAAAAAAACCACAAAAAAACCCAAACAAAAAACCTAGTCCCTGCCCTGTCCATGTCTGAATTGCTTCACACGTAAGTGCAGCTTTTGATGTACAAGCAGGTGACCTGTGAAGAGGAGGTAAAAAACCCAACCGGATCAACAGCAGGTTCTGGCCAAATTCAGATTAACAAACGTAGAAATAACAGGTAGTTTGGTAAGTCTTGGGTCTAACAGTGGCCAGGCAGAGGGCTGGATTTGCCGGTACCCTTCACTTGGAGAGGGAGGTGAGCCAGACCCCCTCTGTGCTAATGTCATCTCTTGCAGCAGCGTGTAGGAAGCCCTGCTATTAGCTGGATCACAGATCTTCTTGTGATAGCCAGCTGAGTGAAATATGGGTTGTTTTTTTTTCCCCTTCCTGTGGAAGCACTGCTAAAAAACCAACAGTCCGCTTTTAAAGCGTGCACACGTTAGGGAGAAAGCGAGGCGGCAGAGGTAAGTGATGCTGTTCTGTGTATTTTCACAGTCGTAGGGTCTGCTCACCCCAAACGAGGGCAGCCAGGAAGCTGAGAATTGGCCTGTTGCTGCTGTTTTATTGTATCAAGTTTGGAAATCCTCAGAAATTGAATTTAAGGAGGGAGAAAAGGAGATGATTACCCCATTAAAATGCAGAATTTGATGGCAGAGCTGGTGCACAGGGTTGCTGCTCGCCCCGTCTGCACCAGCCTGGCAACGCTGCGACGGGAAAACCACGGCAAGGACAAGGGGGGCAGAGGGACGTTCGTCCGTCTGTCTGTCTGACCCCCAGGGTACTGCTGGGTGCCTAACCTACACTCTGCTTTATCCCTGAACACTCAGATCCCAAGGCTGCGCCTACGGATGTTAGGATAAGAGTTTTAAACAGCACTGCCATTGCTCTGACCTGGACCCGAGTGCACCTGGACACCATCCAGGGCCAGCTCAAGGAGTACAGAGTGAGCAAAACCGAATCTCTTTGGCGCTGACTAATACAGCTAACCTTCTCACCAGCCGAGGTGGCCCCCGTGGTGGAGCTGCCTGCGATGGGGATGACAGAAAACGCTCCTCTGGCCACCAGGACCCTTTTGCCATGGCTGGGTGCAGACCACAGGGCTGAGCTCTGCTCTGGAGCAGCACCAGAAATAAATGAAGGGCCTTGGTTTGCTCCTTGTGGTGCCTGGGTGGGCCTGGGGACATCCCCCGTTGCTCCCCCAGGGCTCGGTGTCCCCACATACCCCGGTGTGTGATCTGGGGTGCTCAGACAAAGCAAGTGGGGCTGCCCCTGTGCCCCCAGAGAGGGACGCAGGGTGGTCCTGCCCATGCAGCTCCGGGCTCCAGAGCTGCTCAGAACCACAGGCTGGCTGGCTCGGGGGGGAATGACCTCAGCCAGGTACAAACAGACTAGTTTTTGTGTCATCCCCAAAGTACCTACATCATCCTTTAATGAACACCGACCCCTGCAAAGCCTAAACCCAGCGGTTTGTACTAACTGGCAACTAAAGACAGCATCGATCCTGTTTGTTCATTTACTGCCGAAGTAAAATACCAGTGTTTCTGTACAGAGCACAGACCCTGTTCAAAACAAGCAAAAGTCTGGACAGAGCCCCTTCTATCGGCGTTTAAGAGGTTACCAAAAGCGCGTGTCCTGCAAACAGTTATAACATTTCAAATCCAATAATCTGCTGGGCATAAAGAAAGCTCTCTGGGTACTGCTTTCATTTTTTTCTGCCGCTGCTCTGTCACTCTGATCTATTTTCTGAATGAATCTTATTTCTGCATGAAATAAGATTTGCAGTCAGGGCTTCGAATGGGAGACTTTCCAAGTTCAGACTTTGCTTTGCGCCTGGACTCGTCCCACCTTTCCTTGTACACTGCTACGGCACTAATCTGGGGAGAAAGGGAGAGGCACTTGATGCCTAGTGCTCGGGAGCCAGAAAACAGCTCTTCGTAGTCTGAGCTTAGCTGGTTTTGCTCTGTGACCTTTGGTAAGCACTTAACCCCATGTCTCAGCCTCTTCCTCGGGTAACATCACTGACCTGCCTCGCTGGGGGACGTGGGGCTTCATTAATTGCTCTAAAAGGCTTCTGCAGCTGAGAGCTGCTCTTTAGAAAGGCAGAGTTTTGCTATGCTTTGTTAATGAAAATCCAGTTGCACTTAAATGGGAAAAGCTTCACTTGCCGTGCATGTTTCTTGAAGGCCTATTTCTGGAGAGACAGTAGTTTGCTGAAGAACCTGTGGGTCTCCAAAAAACGGCAGTATGTGAGTTTTCCTGGAGACCGAAACCGGGGCATAGTGTCCCGGCTGTTTCCTTACAGCAACTACAAGCTTGAGATGGTTGTAACCAACGGGAGAGGAGATGGGCCACGCAGTGAAGTTAAGGAGTTCCCCACACCAGAAGGAGGTACGTTCCCGGGGGCGTCGTGCAGGCACCCGTCCCTCGTGCCGGGAGAGGTTCGGGTGGTTCAGCTCTGCAGAGCCGGAGCCGCGCCGCTCTGCGGCAGAGCCACGATGCTGCGGGGGAGATGCGCTAGCGACAATTTTTAGCTGAGCCTGGGCAGCATCTTCTGGGCAGCATCACTGTCCCACGGCGCTGCTGTATGCCCTCCTCACCCCGGCGCAGGTGACATCGCTGCAGCCACAGCCAGAGCTAACTCCTGGCACTGTCTCATCAACCTAAACATCCCCTTCGGGTACTTTGAACCCATCAGCGAGCAGCTCTTAGGCTGAACAAGAGAAATGTTTGCAAAGCCACTTCAGAGGCACAGCACCGTGCCCTTCATTTGCTGCCTGACCTGCGAATGTGGCCGCACCTGCCCGCGCTGCGGATCGGTGAAATGGGAGGGAATATACTCATCTCGCTCAGTAAAAGGCAGTAAAATCTCTGTAAGACCTAAGTAAGTCCTTTTGTTCTGAAAAGATGTCACTAATACCCCTGTCAGGCTTTTAAGGCAAGAGCGCCTCATTCTTCCGTTTAAAGAGCTCGTGTCAAGGATGAACTCGAGATTTTAATTTTCTTGCTGTCACAGGAGCTATTTATAGACACACCAGTAACTTTTTGTTGGAGCTGCACTTTCGGTGGCTGACAATGAATCTTCCTAGAGCACAGATGTTTTTGGCACAGTATGTTACAAAAATGCAAGAGGAGAAAAAAGTAGACGCTGGAAGCAAATCCTGTCTCAACTAACACAAAATACTATGAGGTCTTCCTCTTTCTCTTCAGCCTATTCGTGCTGTACAAGAAAAGCATCTCAGTCCGGTCTCTTTCTTCCTCAGCATTTTCTTGGATGCTGTCATCATTTTCTAAGGATTTTCAATTGACCAGCCATAATTAGGCTTTTTTAAAAAGAAAGGACTCTGTTGCAGTAGGGCAGTCGGGTGCAGTTACCTGTGTGCTGCAAGCGCGGAGCGCTTGGGGCAGCTCTATGCAGGGGTGGCATTGATGGAAACAATTACAGCAGATTATGCTCTTGTCATAAGTAAACTGATGATTTGTTCTTCCCTAAACCACTAGGCAATTTTATCGACTATATATTGATGTTTAGGAGATTGAATGATATTCTGCAAAACTTCTGTTTAAAAAAATAAATGGCTAATCTCTGAGATCAGAGCACCAAGTTCTTTCCCCAGTCAAGACACCGCAATTATGAGTAAACCAGGAGAATAATTTAATTTAAGAATCTATAATGCTTTCCCTCCTTTACTAGCTTTGCATAAGCAGTCATAAAAGCAGCCATTCCTCAGGGTAAGGATCACTGTATACGTGCACTAGCTCCCCGTTACAGATCTCTAGACACAAATTAATAACACAAAGATGCTCTGCAAGCTTCTCTTAAGAAGCTGCTATACTATTTTTCACCGTTCCAACAGATAACTAGATGAGGTGTAAATGTTGGGCTGGGTGGGGGCTGTAAAACAAGACCAGTAAATTATGTGTACAACATACAGAAGTGGGACTTGAACCGTGTCACAGCTCCGCTTCACGGCTGTAGCATCTTCTGCGGGTGCCTCGCCGAGCGACGCGCTGGAGGGCAGCGGTACCCAGCAAGCGCGGCGCGGCGCTGCCGGGGCTGGGGTTGCATGCAGAGCTGCTCTGGTTTCTGCTGCCTGCACGCACGCTGCTGAAAACCCTGGGCTGGCGCGTGGTTTCTGGCACAGATTCTTGTGCCGTCGGTTTCTGACCTTTAGCGTGCGTGTGCTACCTGCGTGTGTGTGTATTTATGAGTGGCCTGAGTGTGTCAGTCAGCCTGCGATGCATACAGTATTGTAAGGTATGTTATCTTGTATGTTTTTTCTTCTTTCCCTCTCCTTCCTGGTCCCATCCTCCTCCCAAGTGCCCAGCTCCCCCAGGTATTTAAGAATCCGACAGCCAAATCTGGAAAGCATCAATCTGGAGTGGGATCACCCAGAGCATCCCAACGGAGTCCTCACAGGATACAACCTTAGATATCAAGCCTGTACGTTCCACATGTTATCTTCTTAGTGATAATAATTAAGTCATTAAATATTTTCCTTACTGCTAATTACCTTATCCCAGAAAGGTCTCTGTAAGGAACTGGAGACTTTCATCACAGGATGAGATGCGCTGGTGTTGGAGAGGAGTCCTGGAGCAGTGCTGGGCAGCTGCAGTCAACCAGGGAGGGTGGCGGGTGCTCAGCAGTTCTGCAGACTCGACCACTGAAGGGAAATAAGTTTGATTTCTGATTTAGAAAGACCTTTAAGTGCAGTCTGAGTAGTTTATGTGCTCAAACACAAGCTCCTGGCTGTATAAGAAATGCTGCCCGGGGCGCAGGAGCCTCTGCAGAGCCCAGCACAATGCCTGGGGCAGTACAGCCTCCTCTGCTCGAGACCTTGGCACTCGTGCTACGCCCTTCCTCGACCACCTCGGCAACCCTGAATGTCCCCGCTGGCATGTCTCCCCGCCACTAAGTCACCAGCTGCCCTAGACGAAGGGTACTTAAGAGCAGCTATAGCTCTGAGCACCGACAGCCAGTCGGTCCTGGGGGAGAGGTGACGAGGTAGACAGCACAGCGTACTTCTGAAACAAGGCTGAAGCCGCCACGACCTGCCTTTCCTCCCCAGTTAATGGATCCAAAACGGGCCGAACCCTGGTAGAGAACTTCTCTCCCAATCAGACAAGGTTCACCCTGCAGAGGACAGACCCCATCTCGCGCTATCGCTTCTTCCTGCGCGCACGGACCCAGGTGGGAGAAGGAGAAACCATAGTGGAGGAGTCGCCAGCCTTGCTGAACGAAGGTATGTGCGGCAGCAACAGCTTCTGGCTTTGCTGAGGGGTTGGGGTGGTGATGGTACATGCATCAGCCAAAAACTGCAGGTCAGAGAACCAGGTGGTCCACAGAGCAACCAGTACAAGACAGTAACTGGTGCACAGCTACTATCTACTGCAGGGGTAGCTAGATGACTAGGACTGAACGCTGCAGCAGAAATGCTACAGAGGTGACTGGGGGGACTGTCCTGTGCTCTCGGGAACCATCTTGCTGCCCCCCAAGCAATCAGCGTTCCTCACATGCCCCGGGAGCAGGACAGCACCTTGCTCTCGTCTTGCAAAAGGTGAAGCTCTCATCTGCCCCTCTGCAGTCTTTGTACCAGCTAAATAAGGAGCAGATGCGGGTGATTTTTACATGGCTGGAAGCGGGTGCAGCAGCTGCATCCTCCGGGCAGTGAACCCCAGGCAGGGGCTCTGTGCCACTTTCCTGTCACCCCATAACCAGCAGCTGACCTGACCCTCCAAAGCCAAGCCTCAACTCCCAGACTCGTAATAAGATAAAATGCCCATTGTGGGACATTCATCAACCTAAGTGAAAGTTCAGGAGCCCTGAGGGAACTCGGGGAGACAAAAGCTGGCTCTTTCCTTTCTTTAGCATTTGCTAAAAGACCTATGATTCGGTTAGCGCTCTGATTTAATGGGGTTTTTTGTCTCCTTTCCTCCATCTCCCCCTCCCCAACTAATGGCTCTGAGTAGGAAAAGTAATTCCTACTGATGACCCAGTGGAAATTAAATGCTTCCTGACACCTCTTAGGTGGGCTCCAGCATTGCTAATTGATGTGACAGGATGGGAGATGGGGCTGCATATGCTATGGGAAAAAAAATCAGCTAAGCTACACCCTGGCAAACACGAGAGGGGGCATGTCATTGCTTTAAAAATGAGCTTTGCTGAACAAACCGTTAGAACACAGGGATCAGTTGAAGTTGTCGGTGCTGATTGATAGTCAACAGTTCTAGTGGTTTCATATACGTTTGCTTTACTGGGTTTGTTTCCATATGCTGATAACAGCGACTGTCCGCAGACCACGGCTAAATAACAGCCATAACCAACCGCTGTTGTATATTGCTTAACTGATTTGTATCAGGAAAGAGCAGGTATGGCGTACGCCAGCGTGACAAGGTAAGGGTCCCTGTCCATGGGGTCGGGGACGCGGACGGGCAGCGGCTCCCAGAGCTCCCCGGCTGCCCCTGCCAAAGGGCCGAGCTGCTGCTGCTTAGCAAAAGGACAAAGCATTGGCCGTTGAAGCAGCAAAACAAATTAAAGAGTCAAATCCCAGTCTGAAGTTACAGAAATATGGCAAAGTTTGACCTCAAAACATGAGACCCTGAAGTACAACAGGACATAGGCGAGTTCTGCTGATGACGGGCATGTAAGGACAATTAGCAGCTCTAAATGCCCACTTTGATATGAAGGTACCTGCTGTAAGGGTACGTGAAAGGTAAGTTTGGAATTAAACCCATTAATGCATTCAGAGGTGGTTTTCTGCTTGCCAGACTCATTCACCTGAGAAGTTTAAATAAAATGCATTTCTCTGATGTTCTGCACCACGGGCTCCAACCCACAGAAGGCAGGACGAGCACTGATGTCAGAATTATGCTAGAAAAAACTAAGGTGAAATTCAGAGTGTCAAAACCAGTCCTTGCTGGGATTAGATATAAGCACTTGCTTAAGCACTTTGCTTAATCGGCACCGCTGGCATCTCTGCTGTGGAGCTGGTGTGTGGTTAACCGGTAACCCCCATCTCCAAGGGGACGTCCCTGCTCCCTCTGCCCTCTGCAAGTGGCTCTGATGCACAGGAGGGTGACGGGTTGTAGCTAATGCATTTATTCCCTCTCTCTCGAGTCGCTGGTGACTGTGTGCAAGTGGTCCCGAGCCTCTTGTTGGTGTGTTCTGGTTGTTTTATATATTCCTCTGTTTTCTCTTCCCTTCTCTTCTATGCTCTCCTCGTATTCCCCTCTCTATCCTTGGCGCTGCCCTCTGAAGCCACGCCAACCCCAGGTACCGTACCCGCCGGAGGAGGTAACGGGCATGGGGCGAGGCTCACTCCACGCTCGCTCGGGTGCGCTGGCAATTAAGCATGCACTCCATTAACCCTTTCAATGGGAAAGTGAGGTGTCAGGAGTCTAAAATTGGACATACGAAACGACAGCAGGTAAAACGAAGCCCCACAGGCAGCAGGGACTAGGGCAGGCTCCACAGGGGGGTCTGCAAAGATTAAAATATCTCTGAGCGGGGCTTAACAGCCTCCCAGATGCCCAATGATGGCCACTGCAGCTGCCGTAAGACTGTACAAGCGAAAACGAGAGCCAGGTTGCCCTACGAAAGAGATTTTTAATCCCGGGTCTGCACAAAGCCCTCTCCCTTTTTAAGCCTCACCATCTCTGCCCTGCGAAACACAGAAGAACGTTACCCAGCCCTCCCCGACTCGCTGGTGCCCGCCTGCGCTCTGCCCCGTTGCTGCTGGGGCAGCTGCCTCCCTTGGCCCTGCAGGTCTGTGCCGCAGCGCACGGACACCACAAGCTCCCCGGGGTACTTTTAGGGCAGCCAGGGCTTTCGTACAGGAGAATCCTTTTGGTTCCAGGTGCCCATTGAAAGGGTTAAGGACAATGTTTGCGCCCCAGCTGTGCATGTCTGCATGCGAGGCTATTGCTGGCTTTGCCCTCCGATTGCGAATTTCTACAGCGTTGAAGCAGAGAGAAACCTTTTCTCGTAAGGGGGGGGGGCAGCATCTCTACCTGCTTTCAAGGAAACCCAAACCCTCAATTACCCAGTGTCAACCCTGCAAAATCCAAAGCATAAGCACAACTTCTGGTTGCCCGGAGGAGGACACCCACCTCTTACGAAAGCTGCAGACATGACCGTTTCCCCCCGCCTTGAGCCAGTATTTCAGGAGCGGGGCTAGCCCCGTGCCCAAGCTCAGAGGGGGGCTAGCGGCAGCGCTAGGGAGTGCAGCCAGCCAAAAGGCACCCCAAACACTGCAGAAAAGCTTTTGGTCTGGAGCAACAGCACTCATTTGCCCTGCACCAAGGGCTCTGTAAGAGGTCGTGCTTTGCCTTTGCTGGACACGGCCCCGGCGCTACCGGGGCTTCCCAAGGAGGAACAGCTTCTTAGGGAAGACTCTTCCCACGTGATACCAGTGCAGGACCTGTCCTCTGCACCTGTAGGTTTTGCTTTCCTACCTCATAGATGTTTCTCCTCCTTTTCTTTTGTTGCAGCGACGTCTCTCTACCCAGTATCATTTTGTGGCTTTTTCCCTTTCTGAATAGATGCCAATCTTTTTCTTACTATATTTTCTCTTCCTAAAAAAAAAAAAAAAAAGAAAAAAAAAAAGGGGATAACAGACTGCTTTGGGTGGTGGGAAACTGAAAACAGACCTTTTGGCTTAGAGATCTCCATCCTCCGAGTCCAGGAGGGGTATTTTGCTGCTATAGCTCATACTTTGGCCAGGGTTTAGCTTACCCACAAGAATCGGTATTTTCTTTGTGGGTCAGGATCACCTTCTTAAAGTACTTTTCTACTTGCAGCGGATATTGCTGAACTTTGAAAACACAATGTAATCTCTTTATCCTTCCAGCATCATAGCATTTCAGGCGTAAATTCTTATACCACGGGAAGCTAGATGAATGAATTGCCATTTAAAGGATAATTCCACAGGAACAGAGCCCACTGGTCCCCCACCCCTCTATTTTTTACCTTCTGCTAGGAGAAACAGTAAAGTGAAAAGCGATGCCAGAGCTGAAAGAGGTCTAAGAGTTAGTAACAGGACTAGCAGGTCGTTAAGCGCTAACTCAGCTGCATCCTCAGCTTCCTCACCGTGCCAGGCTTCAGCAAGAGAAATCAAGGCAGTGTAAGCCGCAGCAAGACCCAGCGCACACCTCTGTCTTGCTCTTCAGCTGGATGTCATTTCTCGTTAGGACACGGGCCGGGTGCGGGAGCTGTTACACAATTCGAGTGGCGTTTGTCCCGAGAGGCTGTTTCTCTTCCTAACAAGTACGGGGTTCACGTGAAATACTGCTTGGCCTTTCTCGGAAGATTCATCTCCACTCAGTGACCTAGATTTTGTAGATTTTTATGGATTCACAGCGCAAGTTGTCTTAGATTACTGTAAAACGCTCTTTGCCATGGGCTGCTGGCACTACAAAAAAATGAAAAGGTCTTTTTTTTCCAGGAGTAACCTTACACACGCAGGGTCGTAGCTGTTTTGTATGTGTATGAGAAACTGGACCAGCTTGATGAAATCAAAGTGAAGCGCGGGGGCTTTCCCTTAGGACAGGCTTTACTTTTCCTAAGCCAGATTTGGACCAAGGGAGAGGCGATCTGGGAAAAGAGGGGACATCTAAAAAGGTCTTTCATTGATGCTCTGAATGAGAAGAAAAAAATCAAAACTGGATCCCATACTACCTGTGTGTATGGAAAAACTTCATCAGGGACCAAAAAGAGCATTGGTCTTAGACTTAAGGAAAAAAACATTGATTTTTCTCTGTTCCCTTCTTGTATCTCCATAATTATGAATCAGAGGAGAAAGATCCTATTGTTCATTTTAGAAACAGACAGCAGTAGAAACAGAGAGAACTGCTGATCCCTCTCTCTTAGAGGCTGCTCAGTTGCTCCTTTCTATCTTGAATTTCTTATAGCTATCAGATTTGGAGGACTTTATGGTAAAGACTTTGCAATTTCCTTCCGTTGCTAAAAACTGGGAGACGGAGAGAAGAAAAAAAAAATAATCTCTGAAAATGTATTTGGCTAATCATCAAAATTCATGAAAAATTAATCAAATTTCTCCAAGCCTAATTATTTCATAGACACACCCAAGGGAAAGCTGTTACTACAGCCTAACACCACATTAAAAGCATCTTTAAATAATTAAAGAGGAGTATGGACATGTATTGTTTCCTGTATTTGGCAAAAAAACACGCAACTACTCCCTGAACTGCTACACCGCTCGGAGCAGGACTCGAGTCTCTCTCTTCGGAGGCTCCCTCTTTCAATATCTCCTTTTGCTTTTGATTCTTCCTCTCTGTTTTTTTCTAACCTAAACCTCTCCCAGTTTTTCTGTAAGGTTTGGGCTCCTTTTTACTGGTCCATTCATGGTCACAGGAGCCAAGCTGCAGCAAAGAGCACCGCCGTCCTGCTGCGAGCACCTCTCTCATTACTTAGCCTATTAATTGCTGCATCCCTTGTCCATTACAGCAGCGCATCTCCTCCCCACCGTGCCCCACAGCCTCCATTACCCGCACGGGTAATGCATCTTGCAGACAGAAAAAGCAATCTCTGCCTCGCAAAGATGGGGCCTATTAATGAGCGGAATGGTCGTTCCGATGTTTCCGGGAAGATGGGGCAGGCTGGGAGCGAGGGAACGGGAATTGCCGTTGCTGGCTTTTCCTCTGGGTTTCCTGCGTGCGCTGGGGCAATTTCAAGCCTGCTCGAAACACTGGTTTTCAGGGTGCTGCTCTGCCCCGCAGCTGGGAAAGTGGCAGCCCCTTCTCTGCACCACCTCCTGCTTTCAGAGAGGGGGGATTTTGTCCCCCGTCACACAAATGCCAGATGCTCAGTCCTGTACCTAAACGTGAGGCAGCTGTTGTCAAAGACCTTGAGCGAACCTCACGTTGGGAATGCAGAAAAATAAATTCAAGCTGCTCGGCGAAGCTCAGAAACGTTATACCTGATGAAATATTGCAACCACGTTTTTAGAAAAATCTAGGTTTTAAAAACGAGCAGTTCTGGAACTGCCAGCCTGGCCCTCCATCTCCCCTGTCCCCCCTTTTGCTGCCAGGAGCGGTGATCTGTCACTCCTTAATTAGCCCCGACGCGGCGGGCAGTGCGCGGGGGACC